CAGATTTTCAACATTTCTATTGTGGATAATACTTTCTTCAATTAGATTCCTTATATCTAATTAAATTAGAAACAGGGAATTAATTTTCGAGAAAGATAATGAATTTTCTGTATTAAAAATTTTGAAATGAATTTTGTATATACAATTTATTTAAAATTAACGATTATCCTTGATGTGTATCATTATAATGTTCATAATTATTATTACCTGTTGTTTTATAAAAATTTAATATAAATAATGTAAAAGTTTGTATCGCCTCTTCGTAACACGCATAAATCGTAAAAATGAATATTTTAACATTGAGTTAAAGCGTTCTTATGGTTTATTTTATTGACCAATTTTTAATTAACCGATCGATAATGTAGAAAGCACAGCTGCGAGCATTACGATTGTTGTCATCATCGTCTCCATAGCCATTGGCTATAACTAAACTTTGATAATGTTATTTTTCAATGTCATTTCACAAAATTTTCGTGAAACTCATACATGAAAGCTATGGCTTCGATCTTTAAAACAAATATTTTTACTATTTCTACTTTTGAATATCAAATTACATTCGGATACATGCATACGTATGTATATAGATATCTATATTTTATTTGACGTTGTCAAAATAACTTGTCCTGAATATCGATATGTGGAATTTTCACTTGAAAAATTCCTATTTTTTCTTTTTTCTTTTTGTTTTTGTCAATCTTCAAATTCGTTTGCATCGCTATCATATAGAATCAACGAAGTAACGTCGAAAACATATCGATCTTCACGAATAAGTCATATCATTCGTTGCGATAAAATTCGTCGCTTGAGACGAAGAAAGTATGTATAATAAAATAAGGAATAAAAGAAAAAAAGAGAAAAAGTCATCGCTGAGAGAACGATGACATCGCGTCGAATTAACCGGAGCATAATCTACGTTATAATGTATAACACGAGTTGCTTTTATGAATAATGCATAGCCGAAGGAACAGCAGGAGCCTGTAGTGGAGCATCCACTTCAGATCAACCAGGCAAGACAAAATTGAATCTTAAGTGTCCGTCTAAAAAGCTCAGTCGATCCTCTCGTCGTTAACCCAGTAACGAGCACCACGTTTGAACGACCCTCGCCGTTCCATCCAGCCCTCGTCTCCTCGTAAAAAGAAAAGCGGTGGAGGCTGCCGCTGTCGCAGCGAATTCGTTGCAGCTTCTCCACTAGAAATATATGAGTGTCCGCGAATCCAGTATTACCACTACCTTTACCTCTACTCTCAACCCTATTATTCCGTATCATTCGTTTTTCATCGATCCCCAACAGTATTTCGCGTCCTTGTCACTACAAGGGGAAGATTAATTACCGAGCAGTCGTTGTACCTTGTCTACCTGCGTCGATCACAGCCGTGTCAAATGATAAATGGAGTCATAATCGAGTTTTATCTAACTATCTATCTATCTATTTTTCTTTTTTTTTTTTCTTTTTTTTTTCATTTCTCTCTTGGCAAATACCCTACTATCGCAATGATAAGGGAATAACGTTATACTTTATAAGTGTCGTTTATAAACAGTAACGACTTTATCGTAGCGACGAACATTTGCGAGGTCGATTAATTAACGCTCAACAGGTCAATCGTTGAAGACTGGCAGTGGTCCACATTTGGATATCGCTAGTAGTATTTCCAACAATATCATCTAGATATATTTTAACAATCGAGTTAATTCTCTTATCCAAAAGGGATGCGAAGGATATGTTCGAAAATTCATATAAGTAATCGTTTGATATAAACAAAAATTTAATCTATGGCCTGTCTATCCTTCGAGGATTTTATTGGAATTGAGCTGTCACGTGAGAGGGAGATTAATTACGAGTTAGTCACTCAATCTCGTGGTACATGTGCACGTTCTGAATATACTCCTTTGAACGATCAATCAACATATAATTAAGGATCCTTGAAAACATTAAATCGTTGATAATTCAAAAGTGTCACCGTGAAATAGCTATAATTCTATATGAATCTCTCGAGCTGATAAATTAGAAATTTCCAAAAGGCTGTGATCGTAGCGAGACAAGTAACGATGTCTGGATATTCCTGTTTCTTTTCTATTATACAGTGAACCGGATGTTGATAACACACACGTGTACATATACATTTTAAGTATAATATATTCTGATATATGTATATACTATATCATATATGTATATATATATATATATATATATATATATATATATATATATATAAATATATAAATATATAAAAACGTGTCTCTTTACAAAAAAAAAAAAAAAACTTGTGCACCCCGTAGAAAATGTATCCTCCTGTTTAAGGTAAGATTTCTTTAACAAAGTACAAATGACTGTTCTTTTGTTCCTCACCTCTAAAAATGAATTACGAAACCTTTTTGCTATAGCCGATTTATAGTTGGGAATGTTTGACTTGTTGTTTTTACTGTTGGCACTTTGTTATTGTTCCACATCTGTATATATATTTATATAAATATATACATATATATATATATATATATATATATACATATAATAATATGTCTTATGAAATTCGTGTTCCAACGGTGAGGAACTTTGTTTCATTATACTAATTAATTAATGTACTTACGTGTATTCTTATTATTTTTTCAACGTTTATCTATGATCGATTGCCCATACTGATTAATCATTTCGAAGTGAATACAATTATATTTGTTTTTTTAATCACGATAATTAGAACTTCTTTATCCTTTGAGGATTAAAAGGAAATATTTCCAAGTGGGGAACCGTTAGGGATTACCGTTGGACACAAATTTTATAGAATGTTCCGACTATCTCCGTTAATCGGATGATTTATTATTCGTCCGTTTTATTCATACTTGTTTACGAACGTTGCGAATGTTGGATCAAGTTTAAAGTATAGCGTAAACATACGTACGTAAGTACTTACGTGCCCGTGCATTTATGTACATAAACGGGGGAAAAAAAAAAATCGGGGCGAGAAAAAGAAAAATGGGGAATCTCCAATAATTTCGTTTCGTGCTCTCATTGCGATGTCTGCGAAAAAACGGCATTGATGTTCCTGAATAAAGTAATTCTCATATCAAGTTATTCTTGCAATAAGTATTTTATTTTATTATTATTTCTTCGACATGTTAGCCCGTTTTCATAGTTTCCTTTATTTTATTATTTATTATTATTATTATTATTATTATTATTATTATTATTATTATTATTATTATTATTATTATTATGTTTTTTCTTCAATAATACTTCACGTTAGGTGTTCTCTTAACGAGAGGAGAGAATAAACGTTATATGCTTTAATTGCTAATCGTGAAGTATGCAATTGTTGAGAACGTTTCATTGTTTAATACCACTCAACCGATACTCATTTATTTAAATAGGACAAAGAATTCGCGCAAGAAATACGCAGAAATTTCTTCGTTCTCGATTGACTCTTTTGCTTCTTTTTATAAATCTCTTCGATTATTCGATCGTGTCACTCTTTTCCTTCTTTTTATAAATCTCTTCGATTATTCGATCGTGTCACTGTCGGAATAGTACGAACTTTCGATTATTTTTCGTACAATTTTTATTTCGTTCTGCTTGAAATAGATTCTCAAGAATAAAATTGCTTTAGAGTTTCGAATCTATGTTCGATATTTTTATAAAGGAAAAGTAACCTTCGAATTATAAATTTACAGATTAAATGGAACATGTCCTACGTTTTATCGCTATTATTCATCTATTTAGATTCAAAACTAATGGTTGAAATATTTCAAGAAGTAGTAACGTTCCTTTAAATCATACGTATTTATATATCATTTGTGATCGTTCAAAGAATATTGATCTTCTATTATGATGTCTGAAGGTTCAATGTAAGTTATCATCGTAGTGCTATAGACGAGCATATCGTGTAACAAGTACGTAAAGCACTGACAGGTGTCATAAGAACGTCACGAGAGTCCTCGTACTACGAACTTAAAGTTCTCGCGTCTCTCCTTTCGCAAAACAGGCAGGTAGCTGGCCTATTTCGAAAAATTCTTGACATTTGTAGGTCAGAAGTCGAAAGGTTTTGTCGAAAGACAACGAAACACAGTAAAGGATTACGTGAGTAAAAATAATTTTCTGACGTTCATGTAACAAGGCACGTAATAGAGATTAAAACGATATATCTAATCGTAGAATTTATTATCCAGAATTTGATCGTAAATATTTATAATGCCCTATTATTATGTCTAATTGTAAAACTTATTACCCAAAATTTTACCGAAAAGAAATCTATGAAATTATAAATTAGGAATAGATTGTGATATGTGTAGACTTAGAATAGGACAATGAAATGAAAGTCATCGTCATTTCACTTAAGTATTTACGGACATTATTCTATTGCAAAATGTCCGCTTATAAAAATAATTCGACCATCAGGACGAGTCTTATATATCACCCTATATAACGACCTCCTTGTACTGAGGATTCACTTAAGGTGAAAAGTATTGTTTCGGTATATAGCCCTTAAATGGATTATGATAAATCGAGTCTTGTGCGCGAGGCTCGATCTCGTATGTCTCCATGTAGGATGAAACGAGTTAGATAGATATATATCGCGATGCCATAATTTCCAATAGTGATCTTTCCAGGAACGTGAATTTATGAAGAATATTTTCGTGAAAAATAGTCGACAAAAGGGTTGACGTTTTATCTCTCTCCCGAAAATATTCTTCATATATATTTCACGTAGTATCTAGCTATAAATAGTAAAGACTTAGAAAGAAAATAAAAAGGAAAAATAAAAGGAAAGATCGTATGTTTGTACGTGCGTGAGTGTGTGTATGTGTGCGTGCGTGCGTGCGTGCGTGCGCGCGCGTGTGTGTATGTATGTGCGTGTGTGAAAGAAAGAGAGAAAGAGAGAGAGAGAGAGAGAGAGAAAGAGAAAAAGAGAGAGAAAGTGAGGAAGATCTGTATAAAAATAAAAGAAAAACTTAGGATAGGTCAGTCTGGCGTGCAACAATGTAGTGTGTGCTTGTGGTGTGAATTTCAGCAGGCGTACAGTCAGTACATCCCAGCTACAAGGGCCCAAGTTTCCGGGGCCCAGGGTGGGCAGACGGGGGTCGCCATGGACGGCACTTACCTCGTCGAGGCCTCATTTTGAGTGTCCGCTACGTAGTAAGAAATCGATATGTCGAGATAAATCTTCATGTACAATATATACATGACACATACATTATATATGTATAGAGATCGATATAAAACAATTCGATTGATATTTGTATAAACTGTAAATGAAATGAAAAGGAAAATGAGAAAAGTAAAAAAATTTTAAGAGTCTCTTTCTAGTTGACAAGAAGTCACATTACCGATTCGAGGTACGTACGATTCGAGTCGTGTATGAAAATATTTGATAATACGTGTGAAAGTGAACTAAAATTAAAAGGAAAAATATATAAAGGACATTCTTATAAAGCTCGAAAGCGAAAAGAAATGTAATAATTTGAGACTAGAGGTCATGAATAAATCAAGGAAGGGAAAAAGAAAAAGAGAGAGAGAGAGAGAGAGAGAGAGAGGGAGGGAGAGAAAGGGAGAGAGAGAGAGAGAGGGAGAGAGAGAGAGAGAGAGAGAGAGAAACGAGGTGAAGACAAAATGAAAATCGACATGAATTAAAAAAAAAAAAATTAGTAAGATACACCAAAAGAAAATCTACTGTGTCAATCAATCAAATTCTTCTCTATTTCCTCATTTCCGTGCTATCTCCATCGATGCGACCTCTCGACCCCCCGGGATCATCAACGACGACGATCGATGATGATTCGATGTCTGGATTCTCTATGCTGGTGGATACGACGACCGCAATGATGACCATCGTCGCATTACTACCACTGCTATCACCACCGTCACCACCAACATCAAACCACCATCACTGCCATTCCGATCATCGCCACCATCTTCATCGTCATCGACATCTCCGTACATCGACTTTGAACGCACTTCGAACACCACAATGGCTCCCTCTTCTTGTCCGTTCGATTTTTGACACACGCAATAACATATTCTTTACGAAACGATCGTTCGTTCTGAAATTACTAAACAATTAAATCGCTGATCATTATTAATGTCGGATGAACGAAACGCGTTCATCAAATGCGAACGACAAACAATGGAACGACTGAACACGCACCAAAAAAAAAAAAATATCAAAACGTAAACCGCTCGTCGTCGTAAACGCGTGCTGCGAGTGCGCGAAATCAAAAATGACGTGTAATGTATTTAACGACACTCGGGACGATATGAAAAAAAAAAAAAAAAAAAAAAAAAAAAACGAAAACAACAATTCGATCGACGAACGCTCGACTACCAATCGTTGACGGCATCACGGAATGGAATCGTCACGATAACGAAAAAACGAAAAATGGAATGAAAAAAAAAAAAAAAAAAAAAATAAATGCACCAAACGAACGACGAACGGTTCCATGCGATGCTAACGAACGGTGAATGAAAACGAACGCAACGAAAAACAAAAACAAAAAATAACAAAAATGACGCGCACATGAACGTGCGACGCATAAAAAATGAAAACAATGAACAAATGAACGAAACGATCTCACGACGAATCCAATTCTACGACGGTGTTACACGTGTCCACGTATAGAGCTTGTCCTATCAGCTCACCTCGAACGAGAGCAAGGATAGAGTGGTGCTCGTATATGGCGACCGTATACAAGTGCGGAAAAAGGTAAAGAAATTGTTTCCTCATTTGGAAACGCTTGTGGACGCTATGATATATTGTTATAAAAATATAAAGAGAGAGAGAGAGAGAGAGAGAGAGAGAGGGAGAGCGAGAGAGAGAGCGAGAGAGAGAGAGATTGTGAGATGATAAGAATAATGATATTCATGATAATGATGATGATGATGATGATAATGATAAAGATGATAACGATGCTGCTGTTGATGTGATGATTTATATATACATACGTATATAGATATGATGTCTATATAATCGTATCTATATACATACATATTTATATGATAATATATGTGATATATGTATGCGAATATATATATATTTATATATATATATATATATATATATATATATATATATATATATATATATATATATATACGATTTAATGATTTGGATGATGATATCTTGCCTTACACGATAGGAGGACACACGAGAGGCACACGATGAGGTCCTCCAGAACAGAAATCCTCTTTTGTGATCGTGTCAGCCGATCGTGCGAGCCAATCTTATCGCGTGGCTGTCTTATCTGAGTTGGCTTATGAATGTTCGCTTTCTTTCCAACAGTTACTTTTTTCCTATCGACGTTTTTATTATTCATCATAATTATATGCTGATATCTAAATAATTACAACGATTTTAGTTATGATCGTTTATATTGGCTGATATGAATTATTACTATTCTTTTATTGCTTCTCGCCGTATTTTTGCTTCTTAAAGTTGATGCGTTTTCATTGTTTTAGGTGAGACGTCGAGAACGAAATAAAGGTGATTAGAAATTCTAATAATGAAATATTTGACATATAGGATGTATTTAGAATGTTGATTATTTGAATTACATGGAAGACATATCGTTATAATTTTCTTGGATAATGAGAATCATTAGAAATCGAACTTGAAATTTTCCCTTTTTTTTTTATGTGTGATACTATGTTTCTTTTTTTTTTTTTTTCAATTATATTCGTCATTGTATTTCTCATAAACATACTTGATTATTTGATAAAATTAACATTTGTATAATCATGGCATTGTTCCAATCAATGTTATAAAATATTTATATTTGATTAATTGAAAATTTGGAAATGTTTTTAGAATTTCTAATCGCGTCGTAGCAAATTCACGCTCTCTTTTACTTATTATATATTACTCGTTACGTGAAATATAATTTTTTGTCCTCGATACAACCAGCGATCTTATTTCTTCATAAACGCGATATGATAAATCAATAATTGATCTTATTATATGTTCGATATAACTTTTTTAAAAAAATGCATACAAGCGCCGAAATGAAGTTTTATATCTTATCAACTTTATCGCGGTTGAACATAAAAATGATAGAACATAAAAAGTGATAAAAGAAAATGAAAAATAGAATATGTGTCACTCGATATCGGCCTTTTTCGGTGATTGAAATAAAATCTCCTCTTTCTTTTTCATTTCGTTCCGTTCGTATTTTATCAGAAAAATCAACCATTGTAGCTTTTTCTACTTTCTTCTCTATTTCCTCTTATCATTTCTTAGAGTTTCATGTTGGCATCTTTGAATACACATGAACGTAAAAAAGGATAAATATCTAGGCATTCTTATTCGTATTGAGTACATTTCTGAGTGTACGAAGATAAATGAGAGTATGGAATACAAAGAAATTGGTGTTGCTATACTTTCTTTCTCTTTTTCTCTCTCTCTCTTTCTTTCTTTCTATCTTTAAAGTAACACTATCGAAATAGTTCTGAAAAAGTATTGTAGTCTTTTTAAAGTATTATAATTTCTTTCGTTTCACGGAACTATAGATTTTCATTCATTATTAGATGTTTTGAAGAGCGTGCTTCACTTGATACCATCATCCACCATTATCAATATCAACATCATCGTCATCAACGTTTTTTTTCTCTTTCTTTCTTCCTCTTATCCATATTACAGAAAGAGGCTCGCGTATACGCGTATATATATATATATATATATATATATATATATATATATATATGTATATACGTATATATACGTATATATACGTGAAGCGGAAAAATAGAATTACGCGACCCGTAAAGGCCGTTTTGTGAGCACACTTAATGAGAACCACATTTACAGGGTATCCACGATGCAGTTATTGCGCTTTGCATCGAGAAAGAAATAAACGACCGTAGGGAATGCGTCTTGTAACGTTAATTAATTCATCCTACGATTTTACTATACTCTTTTAGATATTGCATAATGCTTTCGAAAGAGAGATATTATAGGTGTTTATAATTAAAAGGGCGAGTCACGTAACGGTAATGTTTAATAAGATTCTTAAACGGGTGTTGTTTCGAACGTTTCTTGCTTTATCGTAAATTATTCTATTCTATTTCTTCAATTTCCAATGAATCATCACAATTTTTCTGTTGCATTTTATTGCATCCTTATTCTATAATTTTGCTACAATTTATTACGATCTTCAGAGCTCGTCGATTATATATCTAAGCTTTGAATTAGGCTTTTTCTAAGTTATTTATTTCGTAGGAAGAAATTGGTATTATCGAGTTTTCGCCTTCTATTGAATTTTATAGTGATCATTATTACTACCGTGCTGATGGCACGAATATGTTTTTATTATGTTATACTCGTCTAATTAAAGTTCTCCTTAAAATGGGGTCAGCATCCATAAAATCTACTAAAGAAAAAACATTTGGTAAGAATTCTTAGCTTTGAAATTCCGTTCTTTTATGTATACATTTTACCTTGGGAAAAGACTTTCTTCTTAATGTAGTTAGTGAATGCTTAATAACATTTTCAACATTTATATTTTCTATCTAAAGAAGTTTTATATACATATATATATATATATATATGTATGTATGTATATATATATATGTATATATATATATATATATATATATATATATATATATATATATATAAAGGGGTAACATTGCTTTTGGTTGGACGTCCTATGATACTTTAATCATTCTCCATCTCTGAATTAATGAAAATGAATTATTTCATTTCGCACAAGCATCCTTTTACTTTTATAACGCTACTGATAATATAATAAATTTTGACTTCATTCGATAAAATAGATATATTGAATGCAACAATTTAATTTTACGATAGATTATTCCCTTGTATTGCATTTTGATATCAATAATTATTTCGACGAATATTCGATAAGTTCCTGTAGTTTCTACATGTACTTACACTCGGATAGAAAGGTAAATTATTTATATAACGTACTTGTATATATTATATTCGATACCTGAGAATCCTGCTTGACATTATTTCCGGTTTTGAATGCGAAATAGTTTTTATTTAATTTCGACGGACGTCATTGAGTGCAAGTATTTCACAAAATTTTATTTAGCTTAAGTTTCAGTTCAGTTTTAAATTATTCAATACATATATACACGTACATACGTACATACGTATTTGATGAAAGCTTGTATGGATTAGGTATGTGTACACAAGAGTGCACGAAGTGCATCGTCGCACCTGCAGTGCGGTGCAGCTTGTCATGAGGAATTATTAGCTCGAACGATTCCTGTCTTCGAAGAAAACAGAACATAGCGTTAACTATCGAGCAAACGACGACAAATGGACAATGATGAATATGTTGACTCGTAAAGGTCACCGCAATGCGTTCAAGCATATGTTTTCACGGACTTAGTCTGAGTTTTAGTATATTCAGACCGAACGTAGAAAGTCCAACTTTTCCCGACTGAAGAACTTCCTAATAAATTTAGTTTGCTCGAACTTGATGTAATTAAGCGTGAATTCATTATACATACCCGAGATACGTTCGTCAGATGAGACTCTACTAATTATTCTTTTATTTTTACCTATATATTATAACATGACGTGTACATTTTTGCTTAATACTTTGAACCTGATAATTCGTTAATTTTCGTCATTGTTACATAGAAAGAACGAAAACTTTTTTCGTTTTTATTAATTTTATTTATTTAACAAAAAGAAAACGAAAAGAGCTTCGACAAAATGATCTATGTACATATCGTAAAGCTTTGTTATATCATGCTTTCAATAAATATTTTACATATATTGCATGCTTTTGTAAATATATATATATATATATATACATATATATGTACATATGTACATACATATACAGTTCATAGTTCATATCTTCGTAGTTCCTGTACTATTCGTTCTTCTCTTTAACAATTTTACGTATTATCTTCTTCTTGTTCTTCATTGTATTTTTAATTCTTATTGTTGCTTGCTTCGCACTTGTTGTTTTATTATATAATTGTCTTTGTTGTTCATTGTTACGCATGATTTTGTTTTCTCTGCACGTGGCCACGTGTCTCTTTCATTCTCCCCTTCCTCTAGCTCTCTCTCCGTTCTTTCGACTAAAAAAAGAAAAAAAAAAAAAAAAATAAAATAAAATAAAAAAGAAAAGAAAAAATAAAAAAAGAAACGAATACTAACACGATAAAATATTTTATGACTTTTTCAAATTTATAAAAATAAAGTTAAAAAAAGAAAACAGAACAAATATAAAAAGAAAAAGAGGAAGAAAAACGACTCGACCCTCCTTTCTTTTCTCGAAATACGCGTGCAAGTATTTATTTTTTTATCATATA